AAGAGAAATGAAATCTGGTGGACGCGAACGTCAAACGGTGGCTTGTAAAACAGAAGTGGCCCTCTTTTCAAGAACGTCGGCCATTATATTGGCCTAACAAAAAATGTGGAAGATGGACCACCTACGTTTAGAAAGATGTTGTCTACAATTTGCTGCAATCACATATAGCTTCCAAGGAGATCGACATCGTTCATGAATAACATTAACAAGTAAAATTGAGTCACTTTCAATCTCATTGGCTAGGTGTGTTAGATACAAGACTTCTCTAGAGATCTACCGAATATTAGTTTAGCACCAGAGTGTGGCAATCGGTTTGGGAATGGTATGCAGTACTAAAAATTATAATTGGATTCTAAGTTTTCACCTATAGCATGTGGTAGAAGTGGCTCACTAACCACATCTCTCAATGTAAAGTATTGTATTAGGAAAACCCTGAAAGCAGACAATGTTAGAACATAAAAATTATCAATATTTGTAGCATCTAGGGTTTTGACATTTTCCTCTCACTTCGAATTCTCAGGAAATTCATAAAGCCTTGTATGTCTCATGGCCTACAAGCCTCATGCTTTTGAAATTTTATATCATCATGGCATATGCATTATATAGCTTAGAAGCTTTGCATCGGATATAGCATACATTTGCTCAGTGACGGCTCATGGGCTATGCACTTGATAGTCCCTTTGATTACAACTAGACCGACCTACACTTTATTGTTGACGCTTAATTCCTTATAATTTCACGCCTCACACATCTTGTGTTTGCACTGCCCTCAGATTGTAGTCTTTAAGGCACATGCCTCTTATTTGGGTCATATCTCTTGTGATTCATGATTGGTATGGGTCATACCTAGCACCACTTGCGCCTGGAGATAGCTCGTGCCCCACATGGTTTATGTTTCACATGACGCATGATCTATGAGCTTTTTGAATTTTTTTGCTTATATTCTGAAGACACCATATTAGTGCGTTGGATTTGGAGTCCGCCCATATGGGTATAAAGATGTACGTAAAATAATCTATATTTTGGGTAGTTAATAGAAAAGAAGATGTCCATGGGATTATTCGACTTAAGGTGGTAAAGAGAAAGGATAAGGGGATCCAATATGATATGAAATTTTCAATTTGGGATAAAGTTGAGTTGAGGGAATAGTATTCAAAATAAAAAAGATAATTTCATTTTTTTAGTAGGATTCCCTCGTGGGATAGTTTCTATATAAAAATGTTAAGAGAGAGTAAAGTATAGAGAATTCTCATGGGATGTGCATACCTCCCATAAAGAACTCCTCTCTACACCTAAAAGTCTCCTCTTTCTCTCTCTCTCTCCTGGTTTTCTCTCATTAAAAACTTAGAATAATGAAATCTTATAGGTGATCTAAGAGCTTTCAAGCCTTTTATCAAAGGCTCACGATTTACACTGTGTATACCGCATTGTCGATTCTTGCAATCGGTAGTTGCCTTGAGGTCGCGAGCATCAAACTCTCAAATGGAAGGAGATGCACCCAGAAAATATGGGAGCAACACATCAACCGCACGAAAAGAATGAGATCTAGAAAAAGGTATGTGATTTTATCTCATCTGTTTATTTTTTGTGTTTTCCCTACTTTCGGGATTCATGTTGGAATCCTTCATTGGTATCATAGCCATTACAATAACAAGTAAGCCTTTCGGATTTGATAACCAGTGCAGTTGGTGCTCGAAAACAAAAAAAAACCATATTTTCTGAAAGTTTTTTGTCCCTCTTTGTACTTCTCTAGGATTTTTTGGGACATTTATAGGCCCATGAAGGTGTTTAGAGTGGTTCCGGGACGCGTTGCACACACATGCAAAATCGGGATGTGCAAGACTTTCTTGAGCACCCTGAATGTGGCAAGTGCGCGCCTGAGACCCTAGATGGTCATACGAGAGTGTGTACAGCTACATTTGGGATCGATCTTGCACAAGATCAGCAAAAAAATCCACTCTTCAGTGGTTAATTGAACTCAAGTTGATCAGGGTGCACTCGAATTCCAATCCCAAGGTGATATGATCTCATACCAAAGATCCAAAAAAGTGAAATAGAATGAAAGATTCCAAAAAATAAAGCAAAATAAAATAATATCTAACAAAATGATAAGATCAAATTAGAAGTCGAATTAACGCTAAAGAAAAGAGGAGTTACGAACCACCCGGCCTATGATGGCCGGACACTTGGAGCAGATGCCTTGATCATAACATTAAATTGACTTCATGAACTTCTTTTGATGAAATAAATGTTAGTATTTTTGGTTTGAAAAATACTTGAGTGTATTTCAAAACAACTTTGGTTTTATAGTTCTTTCCTAAATTGCTTTGTAGGGAGACAAAGATGTGGGTTTGAGTCCCACATTGAAGAGAAGAGAGTTTGCTGAGTTGTATTTAAGAGCACGCATTCCCATGCAATATACGTTAAGTATAAAGGAGAGAGAAGGTGAATGTGTAGAGCACGCGAAGTGTGTGACGCGCATGTGCACATGCGTGTGCGTGTACGTGTACATGGACACGGCGAGAGAGCTTTGGAAACTACTTGAAACCAAGTACCTCACAAAAGAGTCTGGTAACAAAATATTTATAATCTCTAATTGTTTTAGATTTTAAATTTATTCAAAATAAGCCTATAATCTCTCAAATATATGAGTTGTAGCTTGTAGTCAATGAACTTAAAGATTGTGGTATTTCTTTGGATAAATATTTTCTAGTAGGCTCAATAATTCATAAGTTACCCCTATCTAGGAGAGAGTACCTAAAGAAGATGAAACACAAGAAAGTTGATCTTGATTTGGTCTAACTTGAACGATCTCTTCAAATTGAAGGAGAGAATAGACTTAGGGAAAAGAAAGATGAATCAATTAATTTTCACTCTAAGTCTAACCTTGTTGAGTAAAAATCAAATGCTCCATATAACAAGAAACATTTCTTTTCTAGGGTCCATAATGAAAATTATAAGGACCAAAAGTCTATTGCTAACAAAAATAAAAAGAAAGCCACTTGCTATGTATCTGGAGAGTGCCGACACCAGAAAGGGCTCAAAAGGCCTAAAGACCAAGTGAACTTGACTACTAAAGAAATTTTTTTCGCAATAGTTACCGAAGTAAATATGATCGGTAAAGACAATGAATGGTGGGTCGATACCGGCATTACCATTCATGTGTCTAGTAATCGCGACATGTTTAAGACTTTTGAACCAATGGGTGATGGTAATTCGGTTCAACTTGGAACCCAAGCTATGACAAATATGCTTGGAAAGGGTATAGTGGATCTAAAGTTGAGTTTGGGTAAGTTACTCACCTTAAAAAGTGTGCATTACGTACTTGAAATGAGAATAAACCTTGTTTCAGAATGTATCTTGAACAAAAAAGGCTTTAAATGGTCATTGAGTCTGACAAACTCATTGTGACAAAAAATTGTGTATTTGTTGGCAAGGGATACTCATGTGATAGGATGTTTAAATTTGATCTTGTTAATGAAATGAATGCTTCTGCATATATTGTGACTTCTTGTAATGTATGACATGGTAGATTAGGACATGTTAATTATGCTTCTATTATATTTTTCGTTAAATTAAGATTAATTTCTAATTGTGATGAATTAACTAAAGAAAAATGTGAAGTATGTTTACACACAAAAATTTCTAAAAAACCATTTGCTTCAATTGAAAGAAATAGTGAATTGTTAGGGCTTATAAATAGTGATGTATGTGATTTAAATAATAACTAGAGGTGGTAAAATATATTTTATTACCTTTATTGATGATTTTTTTAGATTTTCTTATGTTTATTTGCCTAGACATACAGATGAGGCTTTTGAAAAATTTAAAGTTTTCAAAGCAGAAGTTGAAAATCAACTTAGAGCAAACATAAACACAAGGGTGGAATGATAAAACAACTACCAAAATTGTGAAAAAATACACATTTTATGAATTAAAATATTAATCCCGTTTTTAGACCAAAATACCCCAAGGCACTTTTCAACAAATGACAAGACCATCCCTCCATGAGGGGCCTTTTGTCATTGCTAAATCTTGGGAGCTTTTTTGGATGCTTATGGTGGTATACGACCTCTAAACCGCTGGCACAAGTCCTGGCCCCATGACGTTAAACTGCTTCGCACAATGATCCAAGTTATATGACGTTTAAATTGTTAGCACATGTCCTGACCATATGACGTTAAACTACTTCGCACAGTGGTCCAACTGATACGACCTCTAAACTGTTAGCACGCGTTCTGGCTGCATGACGCTAAACTGTTTCGCATAATGGTCCGAGCTACATCACCCTAAACTACTAGCACACGTCCTAGTGGCATGACGTTAAACTGCATCACACACGGTCTCGAATGCATGACCTTAAAAATTGCCTTCCCTCGGTCTTGGTGAATGACCATAAAACACATCAACTCTACGGTCTCGAAGGCATGACCTTAAAATTGCCTTCGCTCGGTATTGGTAGAAGACCTTAAAACACACCAACTCGACAGTCTCGAAGGCACAACCTTAAGCACGCCTCTCCATGGTCACGGTAGTATGACCTTAAAACTGCTTCCTCAAAAAGATGGACATGACAAAAACTCGCAAGGACGTCATAGGTAAAAAGACGCAAAAGAAAAGAAAAAGAAAAAAAATGACGAGCATAACTAACTGTTACGAGTAAAATGTCAAAAATAACAAAAAACTGGGCACGATAAAAACCCACAAGGGCGTCATGAGTAAAAATAAAATAAAGAAAATGACAGACATAGTGTGGGCAAAAGGAGCCACAAAAAAATATATACGAAGTTCTTGTGAAAATCAGAAATGGTGCATAACGACTTGGATGAAAACCTAAAAAGACATTCAAGTCACGTGAAGCTTTCATGCATAGCAAGCTTCCAAGACTCACCTCTCATTCCTTTCCAAAAGAGACGGAAATTGATCATGAGATAGAAGAGAAAAGAGCAAGCCATGAAGTGAAGAGAAACATACAAGCCAAGGATGAGAGAGAAGAAAAATTTCATTCTATGTGCAATTCAAAGGTTACAAAAAAAAACTATGGTTAAAGTCATCAGTTATCTACATAAGGAATGAAAATAAGGTAGAAAAAGGCAGAAAAGAGTGAAGAATCCATGGACCCCTAGAAGTTTTCGAGGGCCTCATGAATTTTGGTCTTTAGTGCTGCCGACGACTTCAGGTCCTTCTCCATCTGCTCCTTCAGGAGGGAGATTGTATGAGTGACTTGGCTTGACATGGTTTTGGTCACAACTACCTTGGAGTCCAAAGTCTCCAATTCCTGGGATTGGCTTTGAACCTATGCTCTCCTTTTCTCTTGCTGGGTCTTCAGCTTATTGATATCGGCATCCAATCTGGCCTTTTCTTCTTCCAAAGCTATAATTTCCGCAGAGTATATTTTATCTTCTTTCTTAAGACGAGCCTGGTTGGAAAGGAGGATGCTCTTCTCCTCTTCATAGCCTCTTATAAGACTTTGATGTCAGGCTAAAGTCTCCTCCGCAGAAGCCAAATGAGCCTTATATGTTGTTTTTATCTCAGACTCACACCGAAAGGCTTCCATCCCCCATTGTACAAGATTCTTCGTAAGACCTTTGAACCTATCAAAGGTCTCCTTATCATAATGAAATAGTCTCAAGGTAGCCGCACATTCCTTAACTAGACCTATCTTGACTGCCAGATTGGAGAGGGAGCACTCCTTCACTCCCTGGAGACTCGATTGCAACAAGTTTCTTACAAGTGAAGCTTTTCTAGTCGAGGCCAAGGAGGTCGCAAGAGAGGAATCCGTTGAGACATGAATAGGAACCTCAGTGATGACAGCTGGTTCATGTGGCATAAGAGCTAAAGACTCACTAGGAAGGATGACGGGCTCAGATAAAAACCCTTCCGCTCAAGGCATTAAAGAAGATGCCTCTGAAGCAGCAACTGCTATAAGCTCCAATCTAGCAATGGAAGAGGCAGCAGGTCGAGGCTCTACTTCTGAGGTGACAGGGCCAGAGGCTGCAAGAATGACAACTTCTTCAATGATTTCAGCTTCAAGAATATCCCCCTCCTCGGTAATGGTGCAGAAGAAATCTCCCTGACTCAAAGAGGAACGAGAAGGAGATGGCACCGAAACACCCTCAATAATATTTTCAGTAGGATATGCCTCTATCTCTACTGAAGGAGGGGGAATGTTCTCTGATCCACGATCAGGTGCACTCGTTTGAGCCGCGTTAGTTTCAGCAATGACTTCTTGAGCAGGGTTCGCCACTACTGATGGCAAAATAGAGCTTGTAGAGGTCTGGGTCTTTGCTCGTTTCTCAAGCCGGGGAGGCGCATCGGTCCCCTTTCTCAAAGTAGGTGGAGTTAAGGGAGGTGCACTTGGGCTTGATGCAGCCCTCTTACTCAGACGAGTACCCTTCTTTGTGACTATAGGTTCTGTAACCATGCTGGGTTCAGAACTTGTTGCAGCTTTCTTTCTTCTACCCCCTTTCTTCTTCGCCCCTTCTTCTGGGATGACTTGAGGGACATCTTGGGCTTTCTTGCCACGGCGGGGTCTGGCAGCTAGAGCAGAATGAGGCCCACTTCCTATCAAAGCATTCAAGTCTTGAACTAGATGGCCTTCATGACCAGGGACTTAACGCCCCTTGGCCCACTCAAAGATGGAACAAAGGTCATCGAACAAGGACCTTGTTTCACCTTCCAGTGAAAGGTAATCCATGCCAGTAATGTCCAAATTCAAGAACCGGGGTCTGACAAGTTCTCTCCACTCATCAGGGTAATCTAGCTCATAAACCCTAGGGAACGATGGGGGAGCAAAGTGTTCCCCAACTCTGCTGTCATGTTTAGCACTGTTGACAACCTTCCATGGATGGTCCAGTCCCCCTGCACCACCATAATGAGAGATCATGAATTTGCTCAGACCAGTGAGACCAAGACAGGCCACCCAAACCATCCTCATATTGATATCGATCCAGCACTCGCGACTACCCCCAGGAGCCTCATGGTCTTGTTGCGCTCGGTTTTCCCGTACTTCTTCTCGAAAAGCACGATGAAATTGAACCCCTGATCCAAGCCATGTTGGCGTGCAAACCTGTAGAGGAAGTAGCCTTCCAATTTCTTGTCCTCGACTCCCCTGTAACGCAGGATACAACCTCTCATACTTAGGAGATACATTAACCTCCTTGGCTTCAGTGGTACAACCGTCAAAAATCTCGCCAAAAGCATCTACATAGACTTGATAAGTGGGACCGCCTCCAGGAAAGGGGCTCCCACGAGAGAAGAAAGAAATTTTAGCCAAAAACTTACGAGCTTCCCTTGGCCATCTAAAGGACGCCTTCATCCCTGCAATCCTTAGCATGTGAGGGCCAGAGTACCCCAGCAAGACTCTCATTTATTTCATATGCCCTAGGGGTGTAGGGTTCAGTTCCCTTCTCAGGAAAATAGGCATAGAGCCAGCCGAAGACATAATGAACTGGGAAGCCAGTTGAAAAACGTCCAGGCAAGACCACGCCAGCAAAGGATTCGCTCATGTTGTCTCTTGAGAGAGCCTTACCACGCATAATAGCCCCCAGGCTATGATAAATGCTACGGAGAACTAGTTGAGCTACGACATATTCACGCCCTTGGGCTAGCTTGCAGGCCACAAAGAAACAGCTTGGTCGAATGATGTTGCTTATCGACCCTGGTAGAGCAAACTTGCACAACAAGAGGGTCAAATAAGCGGCCAACTATACACGGTTCCTCTCAAGTCTTCTAGGGGGAACAATAGGCCTCTTGGAATCCTTGATTGCGTCCGCTCTTTGTTCTTCATCCCAGATGGTGCTAGAAGTCGTTTCCCCTATATCTTGGCAGTTTCCATGTAAGTAATCCATCCAAGCGTCAAAATGCACTCCCTTGGACTTAAGCTTGGTCTCCAAGTGCAAGAGTTGGTAAATCTCAAACAACTCACGGAGACCAGGAGGGGGCAGCTCGTAATTGATCGGCAAGTATCCAAAAATTACTTCATTGTCCGGTATGAATTATTTGTACATGCCTCCTAGCATAGGCAGTTCGCCAATAAAATACATATCCAAAAGGGTGATCCCTGGTTCACCCCCATCAAAATGCCAGCTAATAGTTCTTTAACACCATGTCTCCAACAAAGCCTTAATAGTGTTGGGACATCGATCGTAGCAGCATTAGTATGCTGCAGCCAAGCCACATGCCTTCAAGACCTCAGCGTGTGACTCAAGGACATCAAATGTTCAAGTGTTGTATCCACTCATGTACTGATGCTCTCCCTCAAAATGGAGCCCACCAGTGGCCCAATGGAGTCCGGGCTTCTCTAACATCCTCTTCCCCAGTGTAGGAAGATTTTCACTAGAATCAAAATTCATGTGAAGAGCGTGATAGATGAGGATATCGTCTCCTTCGACTATAGGTTCCCCGTCAACATCCTCATATCGGTACAGTCGAGAATCCTCCCCAACGTAAGTGATGCTCAGGGGCCATTCTAATGACTAGGTCGATTCAAAAATACCAAGGGTGGTAGACCTGGTGAAGGAGGCATCAGTATAAGAGTTGGCTTCCAACTCCCCAGCATGAGGCAGCTGGTTTACATCAAGTATTTCCACTGCAAAAGCAGCACAAAGAAGAAAGTCATGTGAAAAGGTGTATAGAGATGCATAAAAGCATTACAAGATTCTTCACTCTGAAAAAAGGGATGCTCAAGCATGTAAATGATGCAAAAAGTGGCATAAGAAGTGCTTCTTGATGCCAGAACATGGTTCGTGATGCCGAATCGTCACCAGATGGACATGCAAGACATGCAAAATTGATACGCAGGAGCTCAAAGATTCATGCAGAAGGATGAAGCACTTGGTGCATACACGCACAAATGTGGGCATGACTGAGTCTGCTCAAGGCATTCATGTTGCATACGCATTGAAATGCCTCACATAGGCATTCCTGACGCAGCCGTGCAACCGAAGATGCACGCGCATGCACGCACAAGCTCAAGCAAGTCATGGCACACATAGTGCGTATACACGCTGAAAATGGTGTGTACGTGCACAAGTTCAAGCATGGTCATGGCGCACATAGTGCGTATACATGCTGAAAATGGTGCGTGCGCGCACAAGCTCAAACATGGTCATGGTGCACATAGCTCATATACGCACTGAAAATGGTGTGTGCAAACACAAGTTCAAGCACAACCAAGCTCAATAAGGCACTCATGTTGCATACGCGAAACACCTCACCTAGGTGTTCATGGTGCGTACACGCGCAAGGCTCAAACAAGACACATTGAAGTGTTCACGCTACTCATGGTGCATACGCACCAATAACACCTCATCTAGGTGGTCACAGCGTATGAACGCGCAAGGCTCAAGTAAAACGCATTTAGGCTACTCATGGTGCATACGCACCAATAACACCTCACCTAGGTGTTCATAGCGTATGCACGCTCAAGGTCCAAACAAGATGCACCTAAGTGCTCATGACGGACATGCGAACAAAGCCTTGCCTAAAATGCATATGGTGCACGAGCATGAACAAGTCTGCCCAAGCATAGCAAGCCTCACCAAGAGGCTCACGGTACATATGCTCTTTGTGTTATGACCAAACCGGGGCAAAGCTCATCAAAACATTTGCGAAAATGGTTCACGAAGAAGCAAGAAACATCAAACAAGTGAAGGCATGGTCAAGCATGTTTGAGAAACTCAAAGTGCATCACAAACTGCACAAAAAGACTCATTGGGGCATTGACCCGAACACTTGGTGTGCGCTAAAAAGGTCAAAGAAGAATATCAGGTTAAGAATGCTGAAAAAATGACATGGATGATGAAACAAAAAGAAAAAGATACCTTGAGGAGCAGCATAACCCGTGCTAGCCATGGCTTGCCAATATGCTCTTCTTGATGAAATCTATTGATTTTGCTACATCTCAGGTGCAAAAATGGAGGTGGTAAGAATGAAGAAGTAAAAAGCCCAAATTACCTCGGGTTAAAACTCTCTCTCTCCTTATATGGGTGTCTTTTCGTATGCGCATCAACCCGTGGCCCCGTCACGTGTCGCTCCGGCTTCCTCCACTAAATTCTTGAGTCCGCGCCATCGCGCGGCTACAACTTAAAGTTTTCTCGTCCAAACGATCGGTACACGCGTAGTCGCAGGCCCGTCAAACCTTCTTCTATCTTCTTAAAGCGTCTCGACGATCGGGTACGCGCTTAGCCGCTGCCCCGTCAACCCTTATTCTCTTGTGCAAACATTCAGGTACGCGCTTAGTTACGGGCCTGTCAACTGTTTTATGTTTTCCTATCTCAAACCATGCAAGTACGCATACACGCGGCGCCGTCCAAACACTTTCAATCCTTCTCTCTTGAGCCATCAAGAGTTCTTGGACATGCGCATATGAGTGGGTATAGACAAAACCGCCTTCTTCCTCTCTTATTGGTTAGGGTTCTAGGTCCGCACTTGAACCTGAACACTTGTCTCTTGAGTCAATTGTCGTTTCTATTCTTGTGCATTCAAACATATAGATTCATTCGCAGACGCAGGTTAACCATGGGCTTCACCTGGGTAGATAAATGAGCTATGCTCTTTGCACTACCTACACACTAGCCCTTCAGTGGGTAAATTTTTGGCTAAAGTGAAGCCCAAAAAACCTTGAGCTCATTAGCCCCCATTCCAAACCCTCTTATTTCAAGCTATAGGCCCACTAATCCAGTACAACCTTGGATCAACCCAATCAATCTCGAGAGATCTTAAAGATAATTATTACCTCAAAATAATTATCCCTAGGGAGGAAACCATCTTCCTTACCGTCGAAATACATATTTGTCCCTGTGGAGTCTTTATATGTCAGTTAACCACTGAACCATCTAACACCCCAGACCCAGCAAATATGAACAATACACTACCTTGAAAAGGACCCAAAAATCCCTAACGTGGTTAACTTCCAAAATAAAAGCCTCACTCATGGTATTTGTTACCCCAGTGAGCTTTATCCGAACATAACCCCTCAGTCCTATACCTTATTAAGGAAAAAAGTTTTTTTGAAAAGAAAAGAAGCCGAGTATGATAAGCATATGAGGATCATCACGAGTAAAAGTGAGAGCTTCAAGCAGACATAACTACGAAGCTATATGTAAAATTGCCAAAAGAAAAAGAATTGGGCATGGTGAGAACCCGCAAGAGCGCCATGAATAAAAATAATAGGTGGGCATGGCCATGCAGTCATGAGTAAAAGTGTCCTAAAAATAAAAAAATTAGATAATGGAGATTCAATTAGAAAATTTTTTTACACTCTTGAATTTTTTTATGAAAAAATTTGGAACTCCAACATTATAGCACATCTAATAGACTCGTAAAAACCCTTGATAATCGAGAGTTTGTATAATGTGCATAAGATGCACTGCTATTACAGCTTGATTCTTTCAACCCTACTTTCTTATATAATATGAATGAAAGCTTGACCATTTTGATTAAAATTAGTTTGTTTCAAATCCATTTCTTTTAACTTTTTTTTTCCATGTAATAAAAAAAAACTTGAAAAATGATTTTTATTAAAATGTTGCATTAATTTGAACCACTGCAGGAACTTCAGCCACATAACCCCCGCTTTTTCTAAACTTAAAAACATATCTTTTCACTAAATAATTTTATTTTTGGTTCCAAACTTTGAACAAATTGAGGTATTTTATTAATTTGGCCGCACCAAGTGATCCGTTCCAAATCCCAAATAAGATTTTTAACATAATCAAAATAATTTTTTTAAGTAAACCACATCATAGATTCAAAATATGGAGTATTTATATGTACTTAGGCCATATGGCTTAAGTAACTTAAGTAATTAAATCATGATAACTTATTATATACCATAAAACCATTTATCCGTGTTATAGAAAGTCACATCATTCTTATCTCTCGATGTAAAATTTGACAACTTGGTGTGCCACAAAAGATTGAGAATTTTCTTAAGGTCTTATCGTATGCTTTTCCTATCACCGTGTCCTCTTGCTCAAATACAAAATTCCCTCATCTATTTCTGACCCAAAATAAGGGGAGTTTGAGTCTTTTAACCAAATAATTCAGGATGGAGTTTCCATAAGGTTGCAGCTCTATTTATTGAAGTTGGCCAGTGGCCAAAATAACCGTCCATTTATTTGAACGGTTTAGATTTAACAAACAAATAAAGAAAAAAATTGGGGCTTCCTGGTGCCCAATTATCGTAAGTATTTTCCCAGTCTCTCCATTTTCTCTCCTCTCTTCTCTGTCTAGAACAAGTCTTTTCGAGTCTCTCCATTCTCTCTCCTCTCTTCTATCTCTGGAACAAATGGTATCAAAGTTGAGAAAAACGTTCCACTTTATAACCATGTAAAAAAATTATCCCTTGGTAATTATTCTTCCCTTGAAGGTAGTTAGATGGTTAATTTTCAAAAACAAATAATTCTTCATTTACGCACCATCGAAAGAATAAAAATATTCCTCATTTGCAGGTGAAGTATAGGCTCACAAATGAAAGAATTACATGAGATCTCTGTACTGAAGTCTATCACTGGTTTGAAGCATCTGGGCTAATTTCTCTTGTTCTCTTGCTGAGAAAGTATAAAAACAAAATAAATAAGAGGGAGATAGAGGTTAATCAATTTAAAGAAGATGAAATAAACAAGAAAAAACCCTTTTTCTGAATACACAGTCTCTCTCTCAAATGGCTTTAAACAATCTTCTCCAACACATCCACCATAATCTCCAAGAAAACCAGCCAAGAAAGGCATTGCCCTAGAATCATAATCCCCTAAAAAACCAGCCAAGAAAGGCATTGCTCTAGAATCATAATACCCAAAAAAACCAACCAAAAAAGGCACATCGCATGCCCTAAATCCTCTCTATATGCAACAATCAACAAACTTTTTATTTGCATTTTCATGACCAACATCACTCATCCACTGGGAGGAAACAAGGAACACAAGGCAACACTCTCTGTCTTCTCTCTCAATCAACGGCCATGATTCTCTCTCCAAATATCCACATCCATAATTACTCTACGCCTCATTCCCTCTCCCATATAACCTCACACATCATTCCCTCCATCCCCTCTCCCATTTCTCAGACACCTCAGGCAAACCTACATTTCTCTGACAATCTCCTCCGAACCCAACTCCAATAACTACATACACGAGTAACAAACGGGCAACTGTAGATACCTTATTTCCTGCTGAGGGAATTCCTAGAAACCATAGGAACCTACTCTAGAGCCTCCCTAAAGCTATTCCAGACAAATCCTAGATTTTTTCCCCAAACACCCATTTTTTCTAGCCTAAACCACACTAGGGAGTAAACTATAGTTGTACTCCCTCATTTACCCTACTCTCATGATCTATACACCCCACCAAACACCATAATTAATTATAAATCAATTAGTTAACCCCTTACGCGCCTTCACTAGAACTCATACTCAACTAGTTAAACTCCTAAATATACTTAACTCTCTTTAAACCTTTCGAAATAAGCCTAAGCTACCCATAAACCTGCCTAACTAGGCTAACCCACCTTACCAACCTTGAAACCTACTTAATTAGGATAACCTACCCCTTAAGGACCTTATAAATTTGCGTAAACTTTAGATTACGAGCATACAAACCAAATTAGACTGTTGACCCACCATAAACTCTAGTTTGATCCATGAATAATAAAAATGTAAATTCAACTTATTTAAACTGGTCTCAATTCACTCAAATCGTCCCAATAATGCCCCATTTTTACCTAAAACAAACACCCTTTAGCCCTTAGGACGTGGGAAATAGATGGTACGAAGTTGCCACTTGTATAGGGCCCGACATTGTCGATGTACACTGCATTGCACAGAGATGGATTACTTAGATTGAGTTGTCATCTCCCAAGAACGTTTCCCCCTCTTTTCCCTATAAATAAGACCTTTTGATCCTATTTTATGACCCAATTTCCAAACACTACACTAAAACTTTTTCAATCTAAGCCCGGACCTCTACTTCCCTCAAAACCTAATTTTGACCTTGCTCTAGCCGTTAGTCTTTTAGCTCTGATTGCAACTACACCAGCATTATCTAAATTATTCAAAAACCTAAAACCAATACTCTGGCTAATCATGATTCACAAGCTTATCTTCTCCTTAACTATCACTCTGAATTTGAGTATTTATGGCTCAACTCTCCAAAAGACAATGGGAAGGGTCCCCTTACACCAACATCTCTGCCTTGAGCTGCATGTCTAAGTGGTTGTGGGCCCGACTTCTTTCATTTTTCCTCTATTTTCCTTACTTTCTCTTTGCATTTTATTTTCTTATTCTATGTTTCTAAATCACCTTTCCAAAATCCCTTGTTTTCCGTAAGATTTTTAAAATTTTATGATTTTTTGTTTTAAGGAGAATTTTAACAGGCTTGACAAGTGATCTGTGCAAATATGCCATTTTTGATTGATCTGCTCCCTCCCCCTCCGCACACGAATTTCGTTTGACTTCTGAATTCTTAAGCCTTAGAGTACACTAACCTATTATACAATAATAGCACACATAAAATCATAGTCCATACCCAAACTATAGTCCATCCTAGAAAAAAATTTTAAAAAAATTGCAATTTTTTCCTCCTCAATCGAGAAACATTCTCATCTTATTTTATTATGTTGGTATACTATTTGTGTATACTATTTGGATGTATTATGTGTGGTCCCTTCCCATTTAACCAAATCATAAGCGGCTAAGTTTTTACAACAAGTTGAAGCCTTCAACCGAACTGTAGGCCCTCTGGATGGAATCATTTCGTAAACCCCTTGGATAAGCTACTGCGTATTTTTCTGTAACAGTGAGCTCTTCTCCTAGTATTTCTTGTCCTCTACCCCATCTTGTGTCTTTAAAAATATTGATATTTGGTGCCCAAAATGTTAATCTATCAGCTTGTTTGGCGTTGTATATTGCTCACCTCTTCTCCGGCTGCCTGAAAACAATTTCTGTTGACCCCAACAAGAGACGAGAAGAGAAGAGCGAGAGGGAGAAAGTGTTGGAGAGAGGATGAGTTGGGTCCAAGCCCAGGGCTCAAGTAGTGAGCATTATTGTTGCAAGCTTGAGGTTTTGAGACCCAATTTAAAAAAGGAATGACAGCGCTAGAGAAAAAAAGAAAGGTGAAAAATGTGAGCTGAACAATGAGCTTGTCTGTCTACATCAATCATACCTGTCCAAAAAAATAAAGGGAGAGAGAGAGAGAGAGATATGGAGTTAGAGAGAAAGAAAGTTATAGTTGGGTTCAAGCTCATAGTTCGAAGGCAGCTGTTGTTGCAAACTTGAATTTTGGGGATGGACCTATCTTACCAATCTAAAAGAAAAAACAAAGAGCTGGAGAGGGAGAGGCGCGGGAGGGTAAAGTTTTAAGATAAACATGACTAAAGCCAAAAAGATTTGAGTCCCACTTGAATTTTTTTGACGCATGGTTTTGGGGGTTAAAATGATATTTTTTTAGATGATCTGGAAATTCATATGGGATTATCTAAACGTTTCTTACCTTCTATCTTGATCTTTTTCTCTTGACATCTGAAATATTGTAATTTCGGGTACATCTAAACTGGTACTTAGATATTCCATATTCTCTAGATATCCATTTTAGGAAATTAATATCCTTAGATATCCCAAATATCCAAACTCAAGAAACCCAATATTTCTCAAATATTTCCTTAATGTTCCCAAGATCCTCTATAAATACTGAATATCTCATTTTTTTGGAGCTAAATATTCCAAACTCCCAAAAAGGCAAATAAGTCTCCCAATAAAGAAACCAGATTTGCAGGTTAGGCAGTTTCTATAACCTAAAAAGGAGAAATCATGTCTCGTGACCATCTAGAAACATTCAAATTCGATCAAACCACCCCCATTACACTCACATCAACATTCCAATCAAAATTGTCAAGAAACTGGGGAGAGATGGATCAACATTGTAACATTTGGCGTGAATGGTAAAAGATCTACACTAGTTGTAGCGTAGGATACATGACATTTTTGTAGTAGTTCGAACCAACGCCTTCATGTTTTGGAGTTTATTTTTCCTATAAAAGGCATTTTTCCAATCATTTCAGTAGAGCTAGATCTGACATTAGACTCACATCGATGTTCTTATCAAAATTATCAAGAAACAGGGAAGAGATGGATGAACACCATAATATGTGGCCCGAAAGGTAAAAGATCTACTCAACAAGATGTAGTGTGGGATACAGGCATTTTTGTATTGGTTTGGACCACAACCTTCAAGTTTTGGAGTTTATTTTGCCGATAAAAGTGTCATTTTAGAAGAGCTAGATTCGAACAAAAACTCTAGACCTAATTCCAATCATAGAAATCTTGTAGCCGTCAAACCCTAGCCTTAGGCCATTCAAACCCTAGTTGTGTGACTCGGCTCTAGCCAACTTCAGAGACCAAAATTAACGTCTTCGACAATTCCTAGGCATCTCTCTTTATCCCTGGAGTTAATCAGATTATCAGGTGCGAAGATCAAGGAGTTTGGATTTCTCTTTACCATCTGGCTTCCAGGTTCTTTCTTTATCTTTTATTATTTTAATCTGTTTTACTGCTTTCATTCAATTAGTTTATTTTATTTCTTATTAAATCTGCTCTTCTTATTTTTCTTCTTTTTCTCTTTATTTTCATTGTTATTTTCCTTTATTTTCTTTTATTAGTGTCTTTATTCTTTGCTCATCTTTATTCATCTTTCCTATTTTTCTGATTTCATTTATTTTCTTTAAGTAGTTTGTTTTTATGATCCTTTTAGTTTTGTTTCTTTTGTGTTTATTTCGGATTTCACACTATCTAGGCTGGCTCGGCCGTAAATCTGCAAAGAATAGGTCTTTTAAGGTTGATTTCTTTCTAGATCTGAATTTAACGGGATACACCTCTCTCGACTCTTTTAAATAATTAAGTTTGTGCAGGGTCTTAGACATGGTCTCAGATTTGTATGCATACAGGTGTCTGGTGCCCATTGTCCAGCTTAGATTTACTGTGAAATCCAGTTATAAATACATCATTTTCGGCTCTATAGGGTCACTGGTTATGCAACCACCTTGTAGAGGCCCTCTGAGAAATCAGGAAATGTCCCAGCGCACTCCAAGGATTTGATCATTGTACTATCGGAGGTAGAGATCCCTTTCGAATGCTTTGCATACCTTACAAGGATTTAATAATTGTACAATCGGAGGTGGAGATCTTTTGTGGGTGCGGTTAAGTCTCAAAAGGGTGATCCCAGGCATTTTCTTTGTATCTTTGGCTTCACCATTGTTGATATCTTGGCTTCACACCTGGTAAATGTTTGTTTTATAAGCAGAAAAGTGCATTGAATTCTTACGAGATGTAATTTTTAAGTATTTGATGTACTTTTGTAGTTCTCAATGAAGCAGTGCAAATTTTTTCTAAATTGTACATTCTATCGTATTATTGCAACCTTCACTTATTCAAATGAATGCAAACGGGTAAGGGGTTAAATTGGGGAAAATTATTGATACCCAAAAATGAACTTTATAAATATCTTATCTATCAATATTTTTAGCATCACACTCTAGATCTCAACACTATTTTTTTTTATATTCACCCTAAATAAAAAAAGTAAACAAAATTGAGATTAAAATGCCCTTTTAAACTCTCTCTATGCCCTCACTCTCTCTCTCTTTCTACACCGTTGAAAAACATGCCTTACTTTTTTTTTTATTCTCTCACTTTCTCTCTCTCTACACATCAGAAAAACAAGACCTATTTTTTTTATTCTCACTTTCTCTCTCTACCGGCGCTCGTTCACTTTCTCTCTATCCACCATCTCTATCTCTCTTTCTCTCTCTACCCCATCCTATTTTTTTCTCTCTAAGTGCCCTCTCTCTTTCTTTCCTTGTCTTTATTTGCAGTTTCCCCCTTTTCATTGTTTCATAAATCCCTTTCTCTAATCCCTGATTTTTAAGTACAGTGAAGCTCTTAGATCCACAATTTTCATCTCTAAAACATAATTTTTTTTTTTTTAAACAAAGTGAAGCTCTTACATCCACAATTTCGATCTCCAAATCCTTCGATCCTTCTCAAATAAGCCAATTTAAGGCTTTTGTCTAAGCTCTAAGGAGACATTCTTTTAGGTTTTGTGGTTTATATAACGTTTTTAAAAATTTAATGTAATAAAAAGAGCAAGAACTTATTAAATAACACATGAGAGATATACTATTTAGGGGTTTGACAATTAAAGTAAAATGCACCTTCAAATAGTGTTGAGAAATGTGGTTTCAATACTGGAAATCTTGGTGATAGACCTAAAATATATTTACATCTTTAGTTATAAAATTTAAAGCATAAAAAATAGTGTAGATCAAGCAGATATATGAAATCTTGAAAATTGACCATTCAAAAATACGTTACAAGATACATTATTTCAAAAACTTGAAATCCACTTTTTTCTCATGTCCATGCATCATGATGTCAAATGATCAAGTTAATGATATTTTGGCATCAAAACAAGCTCTTCTAGGAAAATTTTTGAGGTGGGCTCCTCGACTCTATATAAAATTTTTCCTTTAGTATTAGGTATGTGACACATTTGTAATTATTCGATTTCATGATCATTTCTCTTTTGATGAGTATTTTAAAATTAAATAACAAAATATGTGGATAAAATATCAAATAGTTCATCTCTCATTAGTATTTTGATAAATTTCTTTAAAAAAATATATAATGTCTAAGCTCTATGAGAAAAAGTAAGAGAATATTAGAGAATGGATTTTTGAGATCCAGCTAGAAAATTTATTTCCACTCTTAATTTTTTTTTTTGACTAAATTTGGAAATCCTAGATTAGAGCACATATAATAGATTTGTAAAAACACTTGAAAATAGAATTTATATAACGTACATGAGATGCATTGTTTTCATTTCCCCGCATGAATTTCATTTCATTTCTGAATTCTTAAGCCTTAGAGTACACTATCCTAGTATATAATAACACATTAAATCATAGTCCACACCCAAACCATAGTCTTTCCTAGAAAGAAATTGCAAGTTTGGATGCTAAAAAAAAAAAAAAATCCACATAGAAAAAATTTGTAAGCCTTTTCCTCCTCAATTGAAAAACATTCTCGTTTTATTTTATTATGTTGGTAGACTATTTGGATGTATAACCTACGGTCCCTTTCCATTTATCCAAATCATAAGCCTTTGTTTACAACAAGCTGAAACCCTCAATTGAACTGTACACCCTTTGGACACATCAATGGACTCACTCTGTAAATCCCTCACATAAGCTACTACATATTTTCATTTAACAGTGGGATCTTCTCTTGGTGTTTCTTGATCTCTACCCAATCAATGGAATTACCCTGTAAACCCCCTGGACCCAATAATAGAATTACTCGATGTTTAGCAAGAACTTTTGAGCAAGAACTTTTGAGAGCAACCAAGACTTTCTTTCATTAAACAGGGAACCAAAATTTCAATAGAAACCGCTTCTCTACAAGAAACCAGCCTCTCAATCTACATGATGTACATCGTGGTGTTTCTATAGGAAGCTCTGCTCACTAAGGGGACGCCTTGTAGTGGTGTTTCTTTCCATAGGAAGCTCTTTTTTCTGCATGGGGTGGTCTTACCTCTCATGCACAGGAGGCTTCTGCTTCTCTCTTTTAGAGGAAGCCACATTTCCCATATAGTAACCCAAATAGGGCACACTTAACTATTTCGTCTTTCATCTCATAGATATAATGTTTAGAATCCACACCATATAGTAAACTAAAAGCTGGACTATGTGATCTAACATGGTGTATACAGTTTCTATTTTTTTTTCTCCACATCGATTAGAACACTAATAATCGTCCAATTACAGTAAATTCAACTAATAACAAATAAATAAATAAATAACATTGTAGGCACCTTATTTTGAAAACTGGTAAATTCAATAGTTTTTCTAAACCCCTAGAAAGCCTTAGGACCATACTATCCCAATAAACCCCTGGACCATAGACAACCATAGCCCATATTGCTTACCCTGTCATTCAGAATCCTGCAGAACACCCTGTTTTAGTAAAAACAAATCATTAAAAATAGCAAAACACAACGTTTTGAACCATAGAATTGGAATATGCCAATTTTGAGCAGAATTGGTAGGGACGACACCACAGGTGCCTATGAGCCCCGACAGCTCCCAAATGTTAGTTTTCGCATGTCAGCCACACTTGGACCCCTGGCCCAACTGCCCCGATTCGAGTGTGTGTCGACTATAGAGACATAAACAAGGCATGTCCCAAAGACAAGTTTTCCCTACCAAACATAGATGCCTTGATCGACAATGATGCAGGGCACAAGATGTTGTCATTTATGGCCGGTTTCTCGGGTTACAACCAGTTCCTCATGGCAGAAGAAGACCACCATCGTTTATAATGTAATAGGGAACCTACTGCAGCTGTGTCATGCCCTTTGGCCTAAAAAATGTAGGGGCAACCTATCAATGGGCATTGACTAACATTTTCCATGACTTAATGTACACCATCATGGAAGACTACATCGACGACATTCTGGTCAAATCAAAGGCTAGGTTCGGTCACCTCACTAACCTGACATTTTCTAAAGACTCAAAAACATCAACTCAAACTCAATCCACAAAAATGTGCATTTGGAGTTGAATTCGGAAAATTACTAGGCTTTATAGTAGGCCAAAGGGGCATTGAGGTGGACTCGTCCAAAATACGAGCCATCACCGAAATCCCCCATTCTTGGAATATCAAAGAAATCCATAGGCTTCAAGTTCGCTTACAAGCCATAAGGTGTTTAATCTCATAACTGGTAGAAAAGTGTGCATTCTTCAATGGGTTCCTTAAGAACGATACCCCATTCATATGGGACAATGAATGCCAAGAGGTGTTGGACCAAATCAACGAGAACCTAACTAGACCCCTGTCCAATCCAAACAAACCCTTGCTCCTATACATATATACGAAAGACAAAACCATGGGAGCAATGTTAGGACAATATAATGACCATGGAAAAGAATAAACCATGTACTACATCAACAAAACCATGGTCGACTATGAGACGAGGTACATAGATGTTGAGAAGCATTGCTTAACGATTGTATGGGCTATGCAAAAATTAAGACGCTGTCTAATCTCATACAGTCAAGCTCTTTTAAAAATAGATTCACTCAAGTACCTATTGGAAAGACCAGTCCTTAACGGATGTTTGGCGAAGTGGAGAATGTTACTGAGCAAGTTCAATTATGTCACTCAAATATTAATCAAAGGATAAGCCATTGATGACCAATTAGCTTAACACACACTGCTAGATAACACTCCCATTAACACGGATCTCCCTGATGAGGACCTCTTCACAATTGAGGACTCAACTTGGATACTATACTTCGACGGTGCAAGGCACGAATATGGGTCAGGTGTAGGGGTTATATTATGTTCACCCGAGAATATTTTAATGCTAACAATCATCAGATTGAATTTCCCATGTACCAATAACATTACTAAATACGAAGCCCTGATAGTCAGGCTCGAGAATACCGTGGAACTGAAAGTCAAGAAAATATGAGTCATTGGTGACCCCTTGCTTATAATAAAATAAGATCAGGGGATTTGGAAGCTTAAAGAAGAAAAGCTCAAACCCTATCAAGAAAAGGTGGAAAAGATGAAAAAATATTTCAAACAAATCCCCTTCCAGCACATAATTAAGGTAAAATAATCGGTTTGTCGACACCTTTGCAACCCTTGCTTCGATGGTTGACATCCCTTTAAAAGTCACCACACTGCCATTTTACATCAGGCACAAGCATGACCCTTCCCCCCCAAAAATTGAAGAGAAAATAGAACAAGAAAATGAGAACGGTGAGGAAGTGTCTTTTGTGGCCACAGATGTACTAGTCAAGGCAAAACCATGGTTCCATGATGTGCTGTCCTTGTTGAAAGATGGGTCATCCCCTGACAGAGCTACTAAAAAGGATAAGGAAGACATCTGAAGGTTTTCTATGAGTTTTCTAGTAAGAGACGACGTTCTGTTCAAGAAATCCTTTAACGACATCAGCTTGCGATGCCTTAATTAGACAGAAATTGACCAAGTGTTAATAGAATTACACAATGAAGGAGGTAACTCTGAGGTAGCTGCTTTAGCTCAGAAAATTAAGCGTCAAGGCTGTTATTGGACCACCATGGCCGAAGACTATTGGAAATTCGTTAAGAGGTGTCTCAAATGACTTTTTTATGGACACCTCATCCATGCATCGTCTGTACCACTTAACTTAACATTGTTTGTATGGTCTTTTGCCATGTGGGTTCTTGATATTATCATGATGATCTCACCAAAAGCCTCGAATGGCCATTGTTACATACTAACATCTATAGAATACTTCACAAAATGGGTAGAGGCAGCGTCATTTGAAGATCAACCTGTTGTCC